TTTTTTTTTTTTTTGGGTCTTCAATTTGTGAGCTTTTTCAAATTTCATCTGATTTTCTAGTTTAAAAAACATTGCCATTTTCTTTTAAATTCACTAAATACGAAAAGAAAAAAACCAAAAGCAATTTGCAAAAAAAAAAAAAAATTTAGTGGCATATTTGCTAAAACAAGCCACTAATTAGGTATTTCTTCTTGAACTACAGGTGCAAAGATGTGCTGAGGACATGTCCATCTTGATCACAACCTATGAAGGGACCCACAACCACCCACTTGCCATTTCCGCCACCGCCATGGCTTCCACCACCTCAGCCGCAGCCTCCATGTTAAGCTCCGGCAGCTCCTCCACCACCGGATCACCATCCACTGCCATTACCGCCTCCACAACCTCTGCCCTCCGTGGACTAAACTTTTATCTCTCTGATAATCCAAAATCAAATCAATTTGTCTTCCCTTACTCTTCAATCTCATCTTCACCGTCGTACCCTACAATCACACTTGACCTCACTTCATCTTCATCCTCATCCCATTTTAGTAAAATATCATCAAGTTTTCTCTCAACTCCAAGATATTCTTCCACAAATCTCAACTTCAATTCATGGAACAATAATACTGGAGTCCTTAACTATGGGACTCAATCTCAACTCTATAACAAGAACAACCAATTTGGGTCCCTAAGCTTTTCAAGACAACAAACTCAAGAAATCTTCAATCAATCCTTCATGCAGAAAAGTAACCCTAACCCTAGTTGCCCTATTAACCCTAACCCTTCTCAACAACAGCCTCTACCAGCAGATAGCATTGCAGCTGCAACCAAGGCTATCACATCTGACCCAAATTTCCAATCTGCTTTAGCCGCCGCTCTAACATCAATCATTGGAGGCAGTGGCAATGGCAGTGGCAATGATAGTGGTGGTGCAAAAACCCTTGGATCTCAGGGACAAAACCTAAATTTGGGGGAGTCGTTTCCCGGGGTTTCTAACTTCCCATCAATTGTTCCAAGTGCAACAAACAAATGCTATTCAACACCTTCATTGCTATTTTCCACATCTAAGAGCAAATCTACCTCTCCTAGCAATGGAGATTAGATACCATTGCATATGATTGATTTTGCAGGGTTGAATATAGGAAAAATAGGCATTTTTGCTAATAATTTTTTTGGTTTTGTATTAAAGAAAATTGTGTATCTGTGCATCTTTTTTTTCTTTTTTTTTTTGGGTTGTATTTTTGAATTTTTCACTTGGTGTGATGATCAAGAAAGTTGTGGATGTAAATGGTGACTGCAAGCATATGGAAAACTGAATAATCAAATTTCTTTGCGTTTTTTTTTTCCTTTCTCTTTTTTGTCCGTTTATTGATAATTGAAATATTCACTTGAGGATAATTTTGAATGGTTTGACTAGTCCATGAGTTCCAAAATTGGCATACTTTATTTGATTTTATGTTTATACGACTCTCTTAAAAGAAATGAACAATTTACTTTAACATTACATAGTTGTTGTTTTTAAAGATAAATATGATTAAATCATATGATTACGATTATGAAATCAAAAAAAAAAAAAAAAATTGTTGAATGATATACATACATTGTAGGATAGTGATTTTGGAATATTCCTTCAATCCAAATAAGCCCTTGGAAGATTCTCTCAACTGTCACTTGAAATAGAAATAAAACTTCAGTCGATGATACCGGAATTAGCACTCTGACGAGTAAGTTAGCTTTCATAGAAAGAATAGTATTTTTGGTTTCTTAAGATACAAGTTTTTGCACATATCTCTTCCTTCAGTCTCCATCTTTCTTTTAGATAGTCATTCTCCTTGATATTTTTTCTGTGTAGCTTAGCCCTTCATCATCACTCTGTCAGGGTCCATCTCATTATTATACTTTTTAAAAAGGGACAGCCTGGATTCGCCTGACATGGTCTGGCCAACTTACCCAATATACTCAGCTCAGTCGTGTGAAAGCTTTGTCCTGGTTTTTTTAAATTAAATATCGATGTGTAGAACTTTTCTATCTTGATATTGATCTACATAAGTATATCTCGTGATTTCGTTGATTTTTTCTCTTTTGTCTCAATTTAATTGCATCATACGGTTTGTTTATTAGTTGATGGGTGATTTATCAAAAATTAATTTCAGCCTTTTTAACGATCCACAAAGTGAGCTAATTTATCTTCAAAATGGACCATAGGTTAATTATCCGCCAAACATAAAATATATATAGATCGATATTATTCTCTCCATCTGATTTTGTGACTGATTTATATATTAGTAATAGAATTTAATTTGTTGATGTTGTTGCTCGGATTATGAGAGTTTCAGCTTATAGCCAAATCAAAGGTTAAAACGTTTAGCCCCAAACAACACTCGCGAGAGGGTCATCTTGAGTTAATGAGCGATTGCTTCCCACATTATTGATGATGGTTTAAGTAAATTTCGATTGTCTATAATATATTATTTGTACTGCATCAAAATGATATCATTTTAAAAAAAGGGATAACTTTTTGTTTTTTAATTTTGCCATAAAATGACATCATTCTCTTTGTCATTTCAGAACACTAAGAGTGCACTATAGAGAATCTGAATTCTGTATGATTTACAAGGCTCATTTTAATAATATAATAAGTATAACGTCACTTAATGAAATAAATTTATAAAATCATTTAATTCGTATAATATTACTCATATTATCCAAGTCATAAATTCTATTTCTTACCTTATTTTCTTATTTTAAGACATAAGTGAATGTGTCTCATATGCATTTATAAATGTGGGTCACATTGCTTTATATCTAAGGGTAAAAAATGAAATTATGTATAGTATTACTTTATATTTTTTAAAATTCCCAACTCTTAAAACTTTGTGAGATGAAATTGGATTTGAACTTTTAAATTTCTATCCAAACCTGCACAAAATTAAAATATATATTATCTAAGACCTAAAATGATTCGCGTTGAACTCATGTTACTCGGTTGAGTCCCTCCAAATTACATCTTCTCACCTTTTTTCTCTTGACTATAGTGAGCGGTCGACAAGTGCTTCAAACTCAATTGATTGTTGCAGATTTCTTTCTTTTTCCTCCATTTTCCATGTGTTTGGAAAGAGGCTAAAAAAGTTAGCTTTTTGACTTTTTAACTTTTTTAGCCAAAAAAGTCAATTTTTTTTATCCAAAACAACCCAATTTTTTGCCAAAAAAGTCAAAAAACTAGCTTTTTACCAACTTCCTAAAACACCATAGGTGGTGTTTAGCAAGTGGGTTGGGGCTAAAATAGCCACAAAAGACAAAACAGGCTATTTTAGCCACAACAAAAAAAACATCACATCCAACCCATAATCATTACACTCTTCTCTCAAAAAAAAAACCAAAAAGCCAAAAAGCCCTTCCCAAACCAAGCTTTTTAGCCCAGGCTAAAATAGTCAAAAAAGCCAAAAAGCCAAAAAGCCAACCCACTTCCCAAACGGAGGCTATGTCATTCTATCAAACTTGTTGTACAGCAAAAGAAAAGAAATAATAAAATATAAATTAATAATTTTGCGCTTAAAACTACCAAATATCTCAGATAAGCACGCATCTCACACTCATGTGAGATATTTAAGGATTGTTTGGAATGTCCTAAGTACACTTTTTAACTTTTTGAACTAAAAAGTAGAGAGAAAAAAAATGATGGTTTAGGATAACTTTTTGACTTTTTACAAAAAAATATATATTAAAATATTATATAAAATAACAAAATTACCATTTTACCCCTACTATGTGTAAATACCTACTGACTTGGATTGTACTGGAAGCCAGTCGGTTGGCAGCAAACATTATAAGAGCAGATTGCCTACAGTCCAAGATCGGACTGGACGATGTTGTTTGGCCCGTGAGGCCCACCACAAGTCCCGTTTTGATGATCTGTAGAACTCGTCAAGTACTATATACTTGTAAAAAATCACATTGATTGAATATTGATAGCTATCATCTGATCAGATCAGTTTTTTTTGTCATCCATTAATTTCTTCACCGTCCATTTTGTTATACAAAACTGATTTGATCATATAGCTATCGATATCCAATCAACATGATTTTTCACAGGCATATAGTATCCAACAAGTTCTACACATTGACGGTTCAGATTATCAAAACGAGACCCGTGATGGGCCCCCACAGGCCGAACATCACTGTCCTGTGCAATTTTTTTGTGCACCGCCAAGTAAAATTTGTAGCATCAATTGACAGTATACCATCACTGTACACTGTCCTGTGTAACAGCACTGTCATGATTCTTTATATATATATATTTTTGTGATAAGTGATAACTTTTTAACTTTTTATCTTATTTACAACATGTCAAACCAAGCCTTAATAATTTTGTTGATAAATTTCTTGAGGTCCTAGCATTTTTCCATACTATATGATTGGAAGAAATGCCAATAATATTACCACCACCAACTAACTTCTACTCCACCATCTCTTGCATAGAAATACAAGAGAGTTCTAAAGATGAGAATATGGCATCTTCTGGCATTCAGGTTAAAAGCTATTTTTTAACTTTTAATCTATTTTGGAAATATGGCATCTTTTGGCATTCAAGTTAAAAGTTAATTTTTAACTTTTAATCTATTTTGGGTCACATCAACTAAGTTACCCTCAACTGAAGCACTACAGAGTTACTCTTAACAAACTTCTACTCCATTTGAGCGCAGAGAGGAACCATCTCAAACAATAATATGACAAAACCTTTAGGTATGCATGAAATATTGAGAGCTTATTTTATGGGTGTTAGAGATCATCAAACAGATTAAGATTCCATACTCCACCAAATCATATAAGATACTACACAGAACTAATGTTTGAGGCCAAGGATTACAAGTCTAGAACATGATGGAAATGGAAAAGGAGTTAAGAATAGTTGAATATTACCAATAAGATCTGAAAACAAATACATGTGATACAAAAGAATTGGGAGCAGATAGTCAAAAAGAACAATAATCTTGTACACACAGACACAATAATGTGTAAGAATAAGCCTTCACCTCAATTTCTTTTTCACTGATGGAAAATCAAATAAAAGCACAAGTTCCACCCCAAACACGTAAAAAAATAAATAACTAAAGCTTTTGTTATAGTCAAGTCCTGATCCAACTGATGCACATTGAAATTTCCAAGCTGTTTAACAAATAAACATTCCCAGAATACTAACATGATCATACAAAGGCAAATCTAACTGGCTATTTTGACCATTCAAATTGCTCCCAAGAGTGAATCTATTGTATGCACAAAATCTCTTGAAAGGATGGTGAAAACAGCGCAAAATCGATGTCCACGCCAATAAACCATCTTACATGAAACATAATCAGGTTGAGGTTTACAGTGAAGATAAAAATTATTCACACAAATCCGAACTCCACACAGAGAGAATTTTCCATCAAAAACTTGCATTCCAATAATATGGGAGTATTTAAAAGTAACCACAAAAGAAGAATAATTATAATCCTATTAATTTCCCCACTTTCTCCATATCATGTCATCATCAAGATTTGTCCAAGAAATTGCCATGCTACAATCATTCAATTTTTTTAATAGGTTACTTTACGCATATAAGACGCATGCCCGGCATAGTTGAATGGAAGTTGTTTGCTCGGGATTTGATTGACAGTGCAAAGAGTAAAAAAGTTTCGTAAGGAACTCCTCATCAATAAACATTAAATCTACTTCAGATCAGTACCTTCGAGACTTGTTCTAACCAATGTCAAAATTCTAGCAGTGACTTGAAGTTGAGAATCAATTTAGCTAAATAAGAAGCTGAGAATAAATAAAACACAACCAATGATATTAATCCCAGCAGAGAAACAGAGCAATAACAATCAAGAACGCACAAGCCTAACCTCACTTGGAGCAGGAGTGAAGGCCAACAACCCAACCCAAGTATTTCACATTGCTAATAGAAAACTCAGCAGTAGGGCAAAAATAATGTCATCTTGACATTGACCAGGAAAAAATAGGCTCGAAACCTTTTGGTTGAGTACACTGTTGTGCAGTGTTGGTATCTAACTTTCTATCTAAAAAGAGAGAACAAAAACTTCCACAACCCCACCTGCTGAGAACTGAGAAGAAAAAGCAACTCCTTTCTCCAATCAAAACTCATCAATGAAGACAAAATACAAAGATAATCAATTGAAGGTTACTGTGCACAAACACGAGTTTCATTCCTCTGATACTTGACTTGGCTCAGCTTTTTTTTTTGGATTGTTACCCTTATCAGTGCTTAGGTTCTCAATCTTCTTCTCATCTTCTTTGACAGCATCATCATTAGAGCAATGGTTCTTCAAAACCGTTGAAATGTCAGGCTCAGAAGCACCAGCAAGCTTAAACTGTTCAACAGCATCATCCAGGTTCTTTTTCCACCCGTCCAACCCTAGTTTACATTCAACTTGAGAACGCTCGAAAAGCATGTTACCCCAGAATAGATGTATCTGTGATCTCATCACCGCTGCCTGTTCTGCCGCTTCATCAGCTGAAATCTCTCCTTGGCCAGAGGACTCGCCTTCATTACCACTTCCTTGTTTCTTTTTTCTTTTTAGCAATTCTTCCCTCTTGCTCGAACTTGGATCTTTTAGCTCATTTTCTCTCTGCTCCTCAAGCTTCTCCCACATCACAGTCGCGGATTTCATTTTCTCCTCTGCACTATCAAAAAGTTTGATAGTTTCAGTAGAATCCCATTTCGAGAGATCTTCTTTCTTAGCAAGTACATACGACCAATGAAGTTTAGCCATTTCAAATTGCTGCTGCCCCAATGCAAGTAACCCCTCGTAGAAGTCCGGTTTAATCAAGAGCGCCTCCTCATACTTCTCTCTGGCCAGAGAATATTTTTCGTTCACCCAATCATAAGCTGCTTGAAGCTTTGCTGCCACCAACTCTTTTTCTGCAGAGTCATCAATCGGAATCCGTTTCCTCGCAGCACACATATGCACATTTCCCCAATTGAAGAAAGCCAGAGCAGCCACCTCCTGAAACTTTAAGGCAGCTTTATCAAAAAGGTTTTGAGCCTCTTCACTGGTTACTGTCTCTTCAAGGGCTTCCGAACACAGCTCCATCCCCTGCTCATGTAGGTCAATATGCGCATCTGAATCAATACCAACATGGGTCCGGAATAACTGAGCAAATTCAAATAACCAGTCATCCATCTCCACTTCCTTGCTCTCTTGATCTTCTGAAGTCCCGGGTTTTTCCTTTGGAGCTTCCTTCTCCAGCTTATCGATCTCAGTATCCATAGTTTCCACAGCAGAATCACCCAGAGACGAACGCAAGCCACTGTCATCTCCTTTGATTCCCTCACTCTTGAGAGGCTTCTCCTGTTCCTCCTCTTCGAGTATAGGTGGCTCCTGCTCAGGACTCACCTCAACAATATGCAATCTCAACATCCCAATTGAGTCTGTCTTCTCCGTTTCAGGTTCTTTTGAAATAACACTGTCAACACATGACTCTGCCAATCTGAGTTCACCCGTACACGTTATAGTCACCAAATCACCATCGTTATCTTTATATTTAATCAAAACTGACTTCGAAGAAGGAAAGCGTTTGCTTACAATCTCCCTCAACACTCTAAAATTGCAATTCACTGGCATTTGGGCAAGCCTTATGTCATGATCATAAACAAGCTTCAATGACCTCCATCTAATTGCAGTCTCCAACGACACTGACAAAGAAGCCCGTTCCTTTTGGTTATCCTTACTGGGATTGGATTTGGTAGAACCGTGTGATGGCTTCAAAACAAGCTTTGGCAATTGGGTTTTGACCTCGGGACCATTTTCAGTACGTAAAAATGGTTGGGACTTATCTAGCATATTATTAGGCGATTCAACTGATGATCCCACTGCAGCAGCCGGTGCCTTTTTTGGCACAGGCCTTGCGGGTAAACAAGGCCCGAGACCAGAAATCGGTGCTCCACGAACAGCAGAGGCCCCAAGAGCAGCTGGAGATGGGCGGCTCTGAAGGTCCTGCTGGGCCTCCTGCCGATGCCCTAGGGCAGTCCTCAATCTCCGGGCAATCTCCAAAGCATCCCCGTGATTTGGATCAACGGCCAATAGCGATTGCACATCTTGCATCGCCATTTCATACTTTCCTATCGCCTCAAATGCCCTAGCCCTCCGAAGAAGGGCACGGACAAACCGAGGCTGAACCTGAAGTGCCATGGAACACTCAGCAATCACAATTTCATAGTCTATAGGTTTCATTTGCATCAAACAAGCAGCTCTATTGCTGTGAAACACAGCTCGATCTGGGTGAGTTTTGGGAGTGAGTTTTAGGGCATTATCGTATTGTTCAAGAGCACCCACATAATCTTTGGCTTGAAATCTTTTGTTTCCTTCCTCTTTGAGCTCATAAGCTCTTTTAGAGAAAATTGAGGAGTCCAAATCAACACCACCATTGGCATTTGGAATTGGATTGCTGTTGTTAAATTCTGAAACTTGGGTTTGGTTAACACCACCCTTCTTTTTCCTACCTCCAGATTTCCCCATAAAATTCTCACACCCACTTCAAAAATACAATCTTGAATACAAAGAAGATAACGAAAGAGCAATCTTCAAGCGTGTCCGGACACTGTTCCGTTGAAATTGAAAAGGGAGGGGAAAAATTACAGAGAGAAGGGAATAGATATACTTACAGAGAACAAATTGACACCTTTGTGTGCAGATTTTGATGGTGTGTGATTGGACTGTGAAGACCCAGAAGGTGGATTGAAGAGAAGATGGATGAGATGGTCTTTCTAGAGGAAAAAATTGAGAGAGAGAGAGAGAGAGAGAGAGAGTGGAGAGACAACTGGATTTTCGGGAAGTTAACTCTTATACATCAGCAACCCTAGATAGCAGGTTTTTTTATTTTTTATTTTTTTAATGGATTATGGGCTATATCATTTTGGATTGGTATCAAAATTATCTTTAACGTTAACCCAATTTATTTATGGATCAGGCTGGTCTCCAATTTGAAATTCAATTGGAGTGTGCTGTTGGTTCGGTAGTAGAGATAGCAATCGGAACCTGGTCTGACGGGGACCCGACCTCTCGGCTTCGAATTAAGCGGTGATTCTCTGAAAAATACTCCCGACGGGCTGGGGACGGTATTAAAAAATGTATCCCCGGTGATCTTCGGGCCAGGGACGGGGATACGTGTTTCAGTCCCGGACCCGGCCCGACCCCGACCCCGATCCCCGCCCCGAATAATCCCCTATGTAAAATTACTAATTTGCCCTTCCGTATATATATGCGCGTGCAGGGTTTTGTGTTGAAAACACTGCTCAGTTCTCTCACACACAACACAAAACAAAACACGCTTCTCTCTCTCTCTCTCTCTCTCTCTCTCTCTACGCCGTTGCCAAGAGCTAGGGTTTCGTCGCTACTCGTATCGCCGATCGTCACCACCACCGCCACCGCCGATCGTCCATCGCCGTACATAGCTTAGTTCTCGTCCGTAATCGCCGATCGTCCATCACCGCTGCTCGTACCTCGCCGCCGATCATCCTCCCTCACTGCCGCTCTCTCTGTCACACAACGAACGACGTTCCTGCTCCTCCGTCACCATCGATCTGAAGCCACCACCACCACCACCGATCTGCAGCCACGACCATGACCAGGACAGACCGTGATGAAGCCCCCTCTCTCTCTCTATATATATATATACATATCTATTGTTCATTGATGCACAAATTTTTTTTTTCCAAGTTATTTATATTATATCTATTGATGAACAATATATCTGTTGTGTGTGCGTGTGTAACACAGTGTGTTGAACAGATCTGTAATGTATACATACAGATTTTTTTTTTTTTTTTGTTCTTGTGTTTGTAATATGTGTTGTTAAAAAAAATTTTGTTTGTTGATCTGTTGTTGAAAAAATCTCTTCCTCTCTCTCTTTGTTGATGAACATGTTGATCAATTGGTCGGGGAATTTCGGGGTCGGGGAAACCCGATCCCTGTTAGGGGACGGGGACGGGGGTGGTTATGGGTTCCCCGTCGGGGATCGGGGCCGGGGACGGGGGTATTTCCACCATCGGGGATCGGGGACGGGGAGTGTGATCCCCGGCCCCGCCCCGCCCCGCCCCGTTGCCATTCCTATTCGGTAGAATCGAATTGGTTTAATTTTGATAATTTAAATTGTTTAATATGTAAGGCTTGTTGAGTATTCTATTTTAAAAAAATTACATTGATTAAATATCGATAGTCATTTGATTAGATCATATTTTTATCAATGGTAAATATGATTTAAAAAATAAATTATTGATAAAAATGTATTCTGATCAAGTAGTTATCTATATTCGATTAACGTGATTTTTTTATAAGAATTAAATATTCGATGAGCTCTATATTTTAAAAGGTTCGAATTATCGAAATTGGCGCATGATGAACCTTACGAGCCCATAACGTGATTTTTTTATAAGAATTAAATATTCGACGAACTCTATATTTTAAACGGTTCGAATTATCGAAATTGGACGCATGATGAACCTTATGAGCCCAAACAATACAATCTAATTCACAAAGTGAATTGGAAACAATTTGAATCCTTTCATATTGTGGTGTTAGTGTTATTTTTATTGTATAAAAATATTTAATTTTATTTTGCTAATTTTCAAAAAATATACTTCCTCTGTCCCAAAATAATGATCCCTCTTGGGGAATTTAACTTTTTTTGGTAGTACAATTATTGTACTTTAAAAAAGTTGATTTTCCAAAATTACCCTTTTGATAGTACATTTTTTAAAAATATCAATATCATAATTGTACTTTTTATATTGTTCATTAATTTAAAAGAATGGCAAAATAGGAAATTTATATTATTTTTGTATTTAATTTTTGAAGAGGGACTAATATTTTGGGACAATAAAAAATAAAATAAATAATTAATATTTTAGAACGAAGGGAATATATATTACTAGTTATTAAATGATATTTTATTAAATCATATACACTATATATACACACAAGTTACAAGCAACCCAATAATAATAATTACAAAAAAAAACACTCACGTAAAAATTGCAATGATCACCACAATTGCGTATTGATTCCTTAATTCTCCTCTTCACATCTCTATCTTCATCATATCACATAATTATTTATTTTAAAATTATTAATTATTTTACTCAAAAATATATTAATAATTAATGTTAACAAACTAATCAACTTAGATTGTAAAAAAAATAATCAAATTTATAAGGGTCTGTTTGGTAACGTTTACGTTTTCAGTTTATATTTACAAAAAATTTATAAACTGATTTTTTGTTTATTTTTAAAAAAACATAAACTACAAGTGCGTTTGATAATTGACAAAATGTTTTAAAAAATTTACAAATATAAAAAAGAGTGAGAAATGGCAAATGGTGGCAAGTGGCGGCGGAAGACGGTGGTGGAAAGTGGTGACGGTGGGTGGTGGGTGGTGGCGGGTGGGTGGTGGTGGTGGTGGATGGGTAGGTGACGGTAGCGGGTGGTGGGTGGTGGCGAGTGGGTGGTGGTGGCGGCGGCGACGGCGGGGGGGGGGGGGGGGGGGGGGGGGGGGGGGGGGGGGGGGGGGGGGGGGGGGGGGGGGGGGGGGGGGGGGGGGGGGGGGGGGGGGGGGGGGGGGGGGGGGGGGGGGGGGGGGGGGGGGGGGGGGGGGGGGGGGGGGGGGGGGGGGGGGGGGGGGGGGGGGGGGGGGGGGGGGGGGGGGGGGGGGGGGGGGGGGGGGGGGGGGGGGGGGGGGGGGGGGGGGGGGGGGGGGTGGCGAGTGGGTGGCAGATGGGTGGTGGTGGGTGGTGAGTGGTGGTGGCAGGTGGTGGTGGCGAAAGACGGTGGTGGAAAATGGTGGCGGGTGGTAGCTAGTGTTGGGTGGTAAAAAAAAAAAACTGAAAATTCAAAATGGAAACATCTTTTTTGAATTTACATTTTTTTATCAAATTTATAAACTAAGACCACTGATTTATAAAGCAAAAATTTTACCAAACAAGTTTTTATTTGAATTTTTTAAAATTTTTGTAAATATAAATAGAAAATTGAAAACGTAAGTGTTACCAAACGGCACCTAAACAATTCATCTTCATGTAATTGAACTTGGGCTTGGACAAACAACCTTATACATCAGTTTAGACGTGGCAATTTAACACAACTTGAGTTCTACCTAAGAGCAATGGTAGAGATTTTAAAAAATTTATTAAAATTTTTACTAAATATATTACATGGGTGTGGAACCCATGTAAATCCACATAGTGTGGATATTTAGTAAAAAAATGATAAATCTTTTGGAATCTCTTACATTCAATGTTGTTACAATCGAGATCCTAAGTAAGATGGTTGGAATGACTTGTGGATCGGATCATAGAATTGAATTGAGAATCACAAAATTTTACTTTAATGTAAAATAAAATGATAAATTATTTATAATGATAATATATGTTAAATAATTATAAAATCATCAAAGAAAATTAATTAATTTGATATAATGCATATTTTATGTTATCATAAATTAGAAAAGATGTTTGTAGAAAGAATTTATAGTCAAATTTTCTTATGTAGATATACATATGTACATCCATATATAAAAAATAAATTAGATTTTTTTTTTGTTTGGTAGGATCAAGATCATAATAGAATCGGGATTATAGTGCAATTTTACATAATTTTATAATTAAAATTGTAATCACTTTAAAATCTTACTAAATTTAAGATTCTAGTACGATTCAGATTATTTAATCCAACTAAAATTATAAGATGTTAAAATCTTACGATCAGAATCAAAATTCTAATAACTATATTTGCATTTTCCACTCTAAAAAATATTGGAAATGGTTAATTTTTCCTAAGTTAGGTCTATTTTTTAGGTGGGCCCTGAGTGTCAATTTACTCGGGTCAAAGTGGTAACGCGTTCAATGCCGCGTTGTGATTCACGTGGTATATTTGGTTGCTCAAAACCATTACCGAGTGAATGGGAAATTGAAGCCAAAGTGTGCTCCAGCGAGAGTTGCGTTCGTGTCTGGTGGATCGAGCCAGAGTGGCTTCGCTCGAGCGAGAGCTTGCACTTGGTTCTGGACCTGAGAGTTGCATTTCTTGGCTCGAGCGAGCTTTCTTCGCTCGAGCTTGCTGATTTGTTCTTCGCTCGAGCGAGAAGTCTGTCGCTCGAGCGTGCTTCTGATTGCAGACCTGAGGGTTTGTGTTGTTGGCTCAAGCGAGCATTCTTTCGCTCGAGCGCACTTTTGAGTTTTTGGCTCGAGCGAGGACTTCTTGGCTCGAGCGAGAGTTTTCTGTGTCTGGTCATGGGCAAAATGGGCTAGACCCATTGGACCCAAAAAATCACCACGCGCGCCGCCGTCCGTCCGGTCGGGCGGGCTTGGGCGCGGGTGCGTGGTTGGGCTTCTAATCTTTTTGGGCCAAAAACATTTGAATTTAATTTTATTTTTTATTAAAATAAAATCCATAATTCAAATTAAATTGGTTTGGATTTTTTGTTCATCCAAACAGGGCCGCGTGTTTTATATCAGCGGACAGTAGTGTTTTTGAACATCACTTTTCACTTTCTTTTTTTTGATCAAACCCTAAATCCGAGACTCTCTCTCTCTATACTTACACTCTCTCTAAGATTTGATCTCCCTAGAGTGTGAGTCTAGCCTAAGGCCTTTGTTAAAAGGATAGAGGGCGCTGGGAGCTTTGATTTAATTTGAAAAAGTTTGGATTTGGAACACGTTGATCTTCGAGTCTTCATCTCCTTTTTGGCTCAAACTTCGAGGTAGGGATATCCTACTCCTCTCTATGGATTTTGTCTTTAAATTTTAGTATTTTGAGATGTTGGGGTTGGTTTGGTAATTTCATTGCTACATTTCCATTTTGTGTAATTTTACAAAAGTTGGGGTTTTATTTATAATAACCTAAATGCTGTTTTGGTATAGGAAATGGATTAAAATGTTGAATCATTGGTAAATTGTGACCTAAGGGTTTGTAATGTTAATTATGGAAATGACCTAATTAACATGATTGATTAATGGGGATAATTATTGTGAGGATACGGAAATGAAATGGGATTGTTGAGACCGGAAGTGTATGGGGTTTAAAAGGGTGTAGTTGAATTGTTTATCACACACCCGGAATTGAAATGTTGATTGAATATCCATTTGTGCATTTATTTTCTGTTTAAGAAATAACTACTTTGGGCTGTCGGTGGAGGATAGTCGTGATTGTTGTAGACAATGCATGATGATTAGGCAAACGGAAACTAATCAATGGAATGTGTCATGAAAATTGACGGTTGTTAGAATACATTAACTGTATGTATTGAGTGATTGTATATAGAACCAATGTGTTTGTATACGTTATGTATAGAGGAGGAGATGGGGGATGTATTCCGCGGTTTAGGAGAAGATAGGGGATGTATCTCTAAACCGAATAGTGTTGGGAGAAGATAGGGGATGAACTCCATAGATACAGCTCATATGCTTGTCTAGAAAAGTGAAGATAGGGCTTATATGCTTATCTTTGTAAAGTGTGGATACAGCTTGTATGCTTATCTGTGAACATGGGATATTGTTGTTATACATATCTGTTGAGAATGTGGATACAGCTTATATGCTTATCTGTGAACGTGGGATATAGTTTTATACATATCTGTTGAAATAATGATAGAGCTAACATGCTTATCTGTGGAAAAAAGGAAAATGAAAGGTAACTTGGACTCATGAGTCGTATGACATAAAATGAAATTTATGTGAATGTATCAGTGTTGGCCATCTATCAATTGCTAATCTTTTAGTCATTGTTCATGGTTGGTTTAGTGTATTTCTACTGGGCTGTGGCTCACCCTATATGGGAATATCATTTTCAGGTACAAGTAGCATGTCACCTCCAATGACATATACTTTTGTCGTTTTACTTTTTGATGTATTACATGTAAATTCAAGCCAAGGGCTTAATGTGTAATGAGTTAGTACTCTTTTGTTGTAACCAAGTGTTAACTTGGAAAGCTGTAAGCCCATAGGGCATTTGCTTTTGTTGTTAACATGTAATACTTTTAACAAAATAAAATCTGTTTTTATTTATTTATTTTTATTTCGAGTTTGATTTTTGTAATCAAACAAATTCTCTCCTTTTCTTTATTTCCTTAAATTCTAATTATTGTTGTGTACACAATAGAATTAAATCTTTTAAATACAGTGAAGATTGTCCTACAAAACATAAGTTAAAAACCTTGTGAGTTTGGGAATTGGATTGGGATTGGGCCAAGTCTAAATCCACCCTAAAATTAAAACAAAAAATGGCTAACTTGGCCAAGGGTAATGTAGTAATTATAAAGAAAGAGCGTCTAGGGTTGGGTCAGCAGCAGCCTATAAATACCATGGATTGCCAAGCAGATAAATGTACATATACATACTTCATCTCTCTAGCTGCCGACGATTTTAGGGTTTCTTTAGGTCTCAAGATGATGCACAAGAAAACATCAATCTCTCTCTCTCTCTCTCTCTCTCTCTGTGCTAATATATTATCTATACGTGTGTGCATATATATAACTAACTATCTGTGGTATTTTCTTTGAATCGAATTGGGTTTGGATCGAATTGATACCTCTGTCAATAATCGAGCAATTGAGGAACAGAACATTTAATCTGCTTCTTCAAACACCGACAGGAGGTACAATAATGAAGGCGAGATATCGTTTCAGTCGTCATTTCTTCAGATTGACGATTCGATTGTTGCTCGTCCACATTATACTACTTTTTTTCTTGAATTATTTTACATATATATGCTTCGATTGAAATTCAATGGCGTCAATTGAGAGTGCAAATGATGAGCCTTTGAATCTTTCTTCACTTTGAACTTACTGGATAGGGATTGTTATGCTATCCATGGGGACATTTAAAGCACACTGATGCGCTCTTTTGATTAATGCTTTCAGCTTCCAAGCACCCTCAGTTTTAGACCCTTAATTTGGGGTTTGTTAATGTTTTTGCCAAGTATTTTTCTTTATTTGGTTAAAATTCAGCTAAATTCTCACAACCCCCTCACCCCCCAAACAAAAACCAAAAAAAAGAAGATTTTTTTTTAAAATTTTGGTGAACACTTCATTTTGGTGTCTTGTGATATGGTTAAATTATAGATTTGTGGAGGAATTTGTTGAGAAAAAGAAATTGAAATGGCAAACTAAAAACATTAAATTTTATTTCATCTACCCTTTTTTTTTTTTTTTTTTTTTGGTTCTTTTGCTTTTTCTTTTTACGCTCCACATTCTTTCACATATTGAAGATCTAATCCAACTTGTAGATTTTGTTATCTATATATGATTTGAGTTGATCTTCTTGTTGTATTTAATTATAATGAGTCTTGACTTGTTGGTGAGACTTGAGAATCTAAATCCAGCTAATTAATATAAGAAATGAATAAAAAAAAGTTGGATGTTGCAGGACCTTAAATTCATAAGAAAATTATCCCCCAACATTGTTGATCTTTATTTAGTTAGAATTTAAAAGAAATTCAACGTAAACTTCAAAAATGCTTTTCAAAAAGTAGAAGGAATAACTTCCAAAGCTTCCCAAAGGTTAAAAAGATATATATGCCTTTATTCCTTTTATTTTGGTGAGAATTTTATGGAAAACAAAAATTATAGAAATCAAGAAGGGCATAATCTTTTATGCATGTAAGCAGAAGAAAGCAAATCAGGAGAATAAATCTAAGACACGGTAATTGAAGATATCACGTGGGATAATCTTTTATACATGTTGACTTTAATTTGGATAAAAAGGAGAATTTGTGAGGCAGCTTTTGAGCATGTAAAAATACTTACCAGGAATCTTTTGGGATTGTTTGGAATGATTTAAGAGGTATATTTTTTAATTTTTTATGAAAAGATAGTGTAATATGATAGAGAGATAATATAACTCAAAAAAAATAATATGTTAAAAGGGATATCAAACAATCCCTTAATATGAATACAAGATGGTTATCCTCAAAAAGAATACAAGATGGTTAGATTATGTAACACAAACATTTATCAATGAAGAGATGTACGATCACCATAAATATAAATGTTATTATAAACATAATAGAATGGGAAAAACGACCATATAATTAATATCGAAATACTCAAAATATTCAGATCGCAAAAATATTCAAACTATTTACCTTAAAATGCGTGCTTTTAAATTTTACACGCTATTTTTCTTTTCTAAAGAGAAATTTGATTTGACCCCATAGTGAAAGTTGTGAATTCTAGTGCTCAGAGAACATTCTAATGATTGATACGAAACTATACCAACCAGACCACACAAACTAAACCCTCCAATTGAATTTTGGACTGATGAGGAGCCTCCTCCTCGGCAAATTTGGTGACTAGATTGCTAATGGATTTACCATTAAACTAATCAGTAATCCAGCTGATCTCAGCAGAGGCCAAATTTCAGATTCAAGGGCCTCTAGACAGACAAACTTCTCATCCTTGCAAGCTCAAAAATTTTCCATCATTGTCAAACCAAATCATACAAGGGGAGTCTACTGGCACGCCAAGATAACAATTTGCTGCAATACTGAAGAATTTTATGGTACACAAGAAACCAATCTCATAATGCTGTCCCTGAACTATCTTGGCTTCCAGCACATTACATAGGCATAACTAATCTTGCCTCCTAAGTTGTGTTGACCATGAAAAAGTTCAAGAGTGAAACAAGAATATCAGAAAGGACAATTGTAAAGAGCAGTGAAAACATAAAGATATCTCAGCACAAAGGGGGAAAAAATTAAAGAATTAAAAAGTCTATTTGTGATTCTCATTCATGTGGAAAAAACCAACGCCTATCTGATATCATTGTAATTAGCTATCTCAATGAAAGATAAACCCATACTCTCCTCGGAGACGCGGGAAGAAGAAGAAAGTGAAGCAAAGCTGGACATGTTGATAGAGTGTTTTTTTTTCTTTTTCTTTTTGCTTCGCTCTTTTGATCATGAAATGATGCCGGAAACTGTTCTGTTACAAGTCTGAAATATCAAACAACTCTATAAACGTCTGATCCGACAGTCTAGTTTTGTCAGCCGCAAACCTGTGGTACTCGTCAAAAATTGAAGACAGACACCACCTTTGCAATTTTCTCAGGCATCCCACAAGGCAACCAGTTCGGTGCTGCATAGCACAAAACTCAAATTGGTGCAAACTTCATAGCTATGCACCTAAGAGGAAACAACAAAAGAGGAGATATAATACCAGTACCTTTCCTCTTTTGCAATGAATTAGGAGCGGGTGGTTCTTTATATCTGTGAGTAAGACAGGTGAATAAAGAAATTAGCATATTGTAAAGCAAGCATAGATGATTCAAAGGTTGGAATTTTGATCGTACCACGGACCACTTTCAATGCTTCACGAATTTTATCTTCTGGAATGTTTGCAAAAGGCTCCTGTCCACAATAGTGGTTATCAATATGTAGCACAAATGTTGGTCCGCATGCAAAACTCAGTTCATTTCAGGTTACCAACTATATATTACATAATCAAATTCCCACTCACTAGAACAGCAGGAAAACATCAGGAACTTCTAATTTACATATAAAATATAACTACTTAGCAAAAACATATATAAAAGGTCGCATAGATATAGTTCACCAATTTGTAATATGGTATAACTCCTTGGCATATTCTTTTAATGAGTTCATCAGCATACTTTTGGTACCACGGCATCTAACATTTTCCATGGTGTCCATAATGTCCACTTCCCACATTCAATGACTGATGTCAAATGGTTTTTGCCCTCTGTTGCTATTTTTGCAGTGGTATATTCAATTGAAATGTGCAAAATATCCAGAGTCAACATTCACTTACATCTGTCTAAAAATGTTCTCTCTCTAGCACTGAACAATCCTAAGGGTTCAAGGAAAAGAAAGTTTTTCTTTCCTTTTCTTTAATCAAGAACCTTCTTTAAAAATTCCGTACACTGCTCTAATCAAATCTGCCTGGCACTTCACCTTTGCCAGCGACCAAAATTTGTTTTGCACATTTCCTAACCGACGAGAACATTTGTACTAGATTGTCTCCAAAATAAGATTTCCATGACAGCACATCGGCCTTTAAATATCTATTCAGGGTTTTCATTCCAAAATTCAAGCAAATGTATTTCTAAATATAATCCACTGGGACATTTACTGTCTAGTATCAGAATTCTTCTCATGCAATGCCAACAAAGATAACACTTCAGAAGCATGCATTTGTAGTACTCTGTTTCCCTCACAATGAGTCATTTCTGAATGCAAGATGAAGAATAAAAACTGGAAAACTGGAAAACTGTCAAAACCAACTTACTAGAGAGAGAGAGAGAGATAGTAGTGGGACAAATAGGCAGGAGGAAGACAACACAACACGTCAACATTTTGTTACAAATCATATAGTCAAAAGAAAGGAGGACCTGACAAAAACTCAAATAATTTCCTGGTGGAGAAATAAAGATAGCTGCTTTCGCAATGCATTCTACAGTACAATCCAGTAGGAAATAGAAGCAGGTTAGTTCATTTGAAAATTTCTAATTCAGATGAAGGAGACAGATATAAAAGAGTCACTCAATGATGCCCATTTTACTACCCAGCACAAGGAGGGGGTTTGTGATGAGGACTGTCCCAACCCTGTGCTTTCATGGTTGGTTCAGCCCAGTTGTACCACTTTACCCCTGCAATTGCCCACCCTAGATAGTGACAACAGTTGCAGAAAGACAAATATTGGCAAGACATGCCAGAATACGAGGCATCAGTGGAGAATGTAAATAAAGTCTATGTAAACACCACTATCATCAGTGCACAGTACTGGACAAGAAAACAAATATGAAACCAAACCAAACCAAACCAAGCCTTAAGTCCCATCAAATGGGGTCGGCTACATGAATCCTTCTTCTCCACGCGGCCCTATCAAAGGCCATTTCATTAGTCAAATTAAGTAGATTCATATCTCTATTTATAACGCTAGTCAACGTTAATCTAGGCCTACCCCGTCCCCTAACACTTCCATCTACCGTTACAGCATCGCATCTCTTCACTACTGCCTCTGTTGGTCTCCGTTGAATATGACCAAACCATCTCAAACGATTCTCTCTCAACTTATCTTCTATCGGTGCTACTCCTACCCATTCCCGAATACACTCATTCCTAATCCTGTCTTGTCTAGTCTTACCACACATCCACCTTAGGGGACGGGGTTGCTGCCATTCAAGTTTCATTAGTCAAATATGAAAATAAAAAAAAATAAATTGATGCCATTCAAGTTTCATAGATAGAAGCTCTGTTTTGAACAATGAGCTCATAAACTTTTAAGCATGGTTTGGAATTACAAAGGAACCAACATGGACCAGGAAATGAGAAATCCAATGCATCTAATAAACTTTAATGCTTCATGCACCAAACTTTCATTTAACACACTCTTAAATTAGATTGCATAGTTGGTAACTCATCTATAGAGAGAAACATAAAGCCAGAGGGTTTAAAAGTAAAAATGACTACTAAATGCCAACGAAAGAATAACTTTAGCAACAAATTGTGAGCATATGTGGCCATTCTCAGCAATGCACTAGTCAACAAAGCCCTAGTGTGTTATTTGCCGCCGACAATTGTTTAAATCCAATTTGACAAGCAAGTGATTCTTGTATATTAATATCTCCTATTTGGAAAATCGACAACTGCTAATTTAAATACAAATTCCATAATCAACTATAGAAAGTAGTTCTTTTTCTTTCTAAAATCATCTACACAAAAGAACATAAGGCCTGTTTGGTAGGGGCTTATAAGCTGCTTATTTTAGTTTTTAGCTTAATTTAAGTTAAAATATTGTGTTTGGTACAGCTTAAGTTAACTAGCTTATAACTTAAATCAAGTTGTTTCTCAGCTTATCTCAAAAACTGGTCAGGGGGTGCTTAAATTTTCGACTTAAGCACACAGTTGGTGTGGGGGGGCTAAAATTACTTAAATGCCCTCGTCAATACCCAAATATTAATATTAATTAAAAAAAAAATCAATATTAATTAAAAAATAAATATTAATTGGTATTAATTATTAATAAATTCATACTGTATATTTTTATATTAATTAAAAAATAAAAAATTGTATATTTTTGAAGAAAAAGAAAAAAATCAATATTAATTGAAAAATAAATATTAATTGGTATTAATTATTAATAAATTCATATTGTATATTTTTATATTAATTAAAAAATAAAAAAATGTATATTTTTGAAGAAAAAGAAAAAAATCAATATTAATTGAAAAATAAATATTAATTGGTATTAATTATTAATAAATTCATATTGTATATTTTTATATTAATTAAAAAATAAAAAAATGTATATTTCTCAAGAAAAAGAAAAAATCAATATTAATTAAAAAAATCAATATTAATTGGTATTAATTATTAATAAATTCATATTGTATATTTTTATATTAATTAAAAAATAAAAAAATGTATATTTCTCAAGAAAAAGAAAAAATCAATATTAATTAAAAAAATCAATATTAATTGGTAATCAATTTTTATATTAATTGATACTAATTAATACTAATTATATTAACTTTTATTAATGAAATAATTTTTTAAAATTAAAACTGAAAAAAATGACAAAATAATATTTTTATATCATATAAGGGCTCTGTTATCAGAATCTTACGATTCGCAATTCGATTCACGATTCGATACGCAATTTTTGCAAAATCGATACAAATCTATGAGTGAATCTCTAGTGAATCGCACGATTCACAATCGATTCACGATTCGATTCACTTTTTACGATTCATGCAATTTTTAAAATTATTGTGTTCGACATATTTTCGACTCATTTTTTCCATCTTTTTAGTGAAAATGACATAATACAACTTCTAATAACATTTAATACCAAAATAATCAACATATATATATGATTTTTTGTTATTTTAGTGATCATGGAGTTTTTTTTAAGATCCAATCAGATTCAGTCAGACCTAACATATTTTTAACATTTCTTCTCATTTTTTTTCCCTTCAAAAAGTTGTAATATATCTTCTAAAGATGTTTAAGATTAAAGTTATACTATGAATTATCTATTATTATTTTATTAAATTGAATATTACATATGTGAAGTCAGTTATACCTTTTAAAATGTTTTAAGTTTTAAAATAAAATATCCTAAATAATCCTTTCTTATTAATTGCTCACTCTTACTTAGAAAAGTATATATGTTTATTGTTCAAATATCAATATCATTGTTAACTATTGTTAATTTAAAAATTAATAGTTTGTCTATTTGATTTTTATCTTTATTAAGAATGGTTAATAAAAAATATCTAAAAAATAAAAAAAAAAAAGGTAAGATTGTGATTTTACATAGAAATCTTTGTTAACTTCTTACCTATTAAATTACGTGATTATCTTTCAAAATAACAATTTTGTTGATTTAAGTCTAAATATTTTATATTCATTAGATATATTTAACATCTAAATGTGTAGACATATATTTTTAAATAATTTAGAAAAAGTGACCGAATCTTTACGATTCACGATTCGATTCGATTCGATTCGCGATTCGGTACGAGGCCATTTCGATTCACGATACGAATCTCGATTTGAGAACTATGTATAAGGGCAGAAAGGACAATTATACAGTAAAAAGTTATTTTACAACTTATTAATCAAACACTACTCTGCTGCTTAAATCCATAATCTCACAGCTGCACCAAACAGGTCAACAGCTTAGGTTCACAGCTATAAGTCATAATCTGTTAAGCTATAATTTATAATCACTTTTCCACAGTTCTACCAAACGGGGCCATAATGTCAAACAAATTTAATTCCCATACAAAACCCTACAAAAATCATCAATGTAGCATTCTTAATATCTTTCAATACATAGAAATTGACATAATGGTGAATGTATCCTCATATTTATAAGCATTATAGACATACAACAATATAGCCCCAGAAAAATATAAGAAAGAGAAGGCAAAATCAAATTAGATTCTCATCCCATTAACAAATCACAATCCAATTTCACCGAAAAACAAGTTCTAATTAATCAAATCACATAAATAACATATAACGTACGCACATGTATGCATGAAATTGAAAGCAAACGAACCTTACAACCATCGATACCGAACTGAAAAAGCTGAATTCCATTCGCATTGAGAAATCTCAAGTTCGCTTCAGGATAGGGTTCTTGACAGAGATATCTACACAAACCAAATCATCAAAATCTCACAACTCATAACCAAATCACGAACAACGATTTCAATGATCGAAAAAAAAAATGTACTCACACGATCGAGCGGAGGCCTAGGGTTTGCAAGAAGGAAAAGTTGGCAGATTCGGGAAAACCAGACCTGAAGACGCCGTAATCGACCATTGCGAAGTTGAGAGGCGGCGCCAATAGCTCATCGCCGTCGTTCTCCGACACGTCTCCGGTCGACGGAGGAGATTTGTCGCCGCCGTATGGCACGGTGGCTTCGATCGCAGGACACATCGCTCTCTAAAAACTCTCCACTTTCATGGCATTCGCGCCAAAAACATTATTATATATGTACATGTATGTATACGTTTAATTGATTCTATCCCTATCACAATATGGAAGATTTTTGGTTATATATCGAGCTGTTAATCTTGTGATATATATAATTTCTGAATGGGATTAGATGTATGTAAACAGATACCTAATTGAATTGAATCTTTGATTAAACTATTATAAAAAAGATAAATATTTTATTTTTTTAATTGTTTATTGAGTTAATTTGTCTTTAATATTTTATTTTTTATTACATTAATTAAAAAATTATTTTATTTTCTAAAAATTAAATAAATTGATTTTTTAAATTAAATAAATAAAACATCAATAAAAATTTATGTTATTTTTAAAATTAATAAATATCACATAATGAAATTAAATAAAACATCAACAACAATTTAAAATAAAACTTCAATAAAATATAGGAAAATCGGTCTAGGGTCCCTCTCCCACTTTTCGTAATGGAAGAGATTCACAAAATTATTTTTTGATGTCTAAGGTTCCTAAACATATATTAGATGAAAGTTTCACTCGCTCCTCTCTTTCCACTCACTGAAAGACCTCTCGATCGTCTTCAACACTGGACAATTCGATTCATACAAACTCAATTTGATCGATTCAACGATCGGAAACTCCGAAACTGAACTTCAATTAGAAACCCTAGGTTTGTCCGGGATTCAACACTGTGATTACGGCCTCAGTTGGCTCTGGAGGAGTTGTAAACAGCTCAAGAAACTCCAAATGCGAAGCTGCTATGCAATCGGCGATGAATCATCACTCTCATCGTTCGTCGAATGCTTAATTGGTCTTCAAGAAGTGGAATTGTAGACATGTAGGGCGATAATCGACGAGGTTCCTCTTCCTCCTCCTCTTTCATACACTTTCTCATTCTAGGGTTTCAAGTTCTTAAACCCCCTCAATTTCATTTTAATTCATCATCCCCTATTTTCCCTACTCTTCCGTCAAGCTTTTACAGTCTATTTCATACACTTTCCCTACTCTTCTGTCCCTGATGCTTTAGATTTGCACCTTACAATGAACAAGTGTGATGATCAATTTGGGAAGCAAGATGCAAAAGAACAAGAAATAGAATGTCTGGTTGTAGGAGATGCAGTTGTTTCAAAACCCGGAGAGACTAAGAGTTTTGGGGAGGAAAAAATTTCAACTTTTTCTATGTTTGAAACAAATGCTTCAGTTCCTAAAATTGAAAAGACTGAGAAGCAAGATGCAGAAGCACAAGCGAGCAATGATCTTATTTTGCAGGATGCTTTTTTGAAGCCCTGGTGGACAGACATGGATGGAAGATTCTGCATAGATGGAAGATTCTGGATGCTCTTTTGTATGTTTTATGGACAGAGAAAAAGTTCCTTTATCACATCATACATGGATGGAAGATTCTGCTTCTGGTGGACATCCATCTACTTGTTATGAATCAGAATTTTTCTGTGAAGTTCAGAGAAAATTCGACCAGAGAAATTCTCTGTGAAATATGAAGTTCAGAGAAAATTAGACCAGAGAAAATCTCTGTAAACTAGAATTTCTCTGTGAAGTCCAGAGAAAATTCGATCTAGAGTAGTTGAGTCTAATTGATTCAATTTCCCCTTCTACAGCTTGTATTATATCTGTCAACTACACAAATGATGTGTTCTTATACATGTGTGCTTTTGGTATTGTTGTTGTTTCTTGGTAATAAAGTTTGTGCATCATTTGTGCTGTTTAGTTACTGATATAGAGGTTGATGAAGATGTCGAACAAGAAGATAAACCTGGAGTTCGAAACCTTCAGCATCTCTGTGTTCTACAAGAGGCAAAGCAATCAAGTAAAAGTCCTTTTCATCTCGTTATTGCTCCGAGCCTTAACTTCCAACTCGGCCGAATCCAGTGACCGTGACGATAATTCGGGCTTAAGCATTAGCGATTGTATGGAAAAGTGCTAGAACAATTGCAGTGTTGGGTTCACCACAAGCAATAGCAATGCTAGTCCAGAGAAATTCTCTGGGTTCCAAATTAAGCATTCCAGGTTCCAAATTGTGAATTGATTTTTTTTTTTCATTTGAAGTTGAAACCAGAGAAATTCTTTGGTTTTTGAACTGAATTTTCTCTAGGTTGAAACCAGAGAAATTCCCTAATTTTTGAACTAAATTTTATCAGGGTTGGCCTAGAATTTCTCTGGACCAATTTTCTCTGTGACATGAAATGGTGACAATGGTCATGATCCGGAGCTGAATAAGTTGCAGAACTCTCCCATTAATGGAAGACTGAAGCGGAAATATAAAGGCCACGAATTGTATACGAAACACAATGGTAGAAATAATTTTGAATTTACAGCCAATACATTGTTTTTTCTTAGGAATTGAGAAGAACTTGCATCAGGTGATAAAAGGGAAGGGGAAAAAAAAAAATCATTCGTAAACTTCTTCAAGATAAAAAAGACATTTCTTGATTATCAATGCACAAACATTCACCAAAACACATGCATGGTGTATGTGTGGCTCCCTCTGCATAAAATTCTGAGAATAATTAGATTTTCCAGAGAAATTTGGACTGAAATTTCACTAAACCAATTTTCTCTGGACTGAAATTTCTCTGCACCAATTTTCTCTTGACTGAAATTTCTCTGCACCAATTTTCTCTGGACTGAAATTTCTCTGGATCAAGGTTGAGGGACCTTAGGCATTATGAAAATATTGTTGATGGACCTTAGACATCATAAAAATATTTGATATCCTTTATGCTATAAAATCATAATATCAAGAACCTTAAAAAAAAAAAACCCATAACATGTCTATAAAAATTTATTTAAAAAATTAAATAAATAAACATGAATAAAAATTAAATTAAATTATTTTATTTTATTTTTTAACTCAGATTTTTATATTTTATTTTATTTTAGTAAATAAAATAGATAACGAAATCAAATACTTGAAAGGTGAGCAGCGGATATACCGATCTGCCAAAATCGACCAAACCGAACAGAACCGATCCACCGCATTTTTGACGGATGCGTGATGTCAAGCGGACGGTTGCAGATTGATTTTCTCTAATCCGCCAATTTGGCCGACGGATGGCAGATTTGAGGCTCCTTTGGCCGCAACTAAACCGCCAAACCACGAGTACCCTTAGTAATTTATAGGACTTTGTATTTTCAATTTGTTTGAATATTTTGTTTGTGTTTTCAATTGAAAAAAGTTCAAATATCCTGTTGAAAAAAAGTTTTTAACTTGAATATATTTTTTGAATTGAAAAAAAAAACATATTATTTATTTATATTTTTTGGTTTTTAAATCTAACTCTAAAAGTAATAAATAGAAAATATAATATATGCTGGTTGATTTTTGTTTTCAAAAATATATATAAATGTAACAATACAGAGACATAGAATCTCTACTATTGCTTTGTTCATGGTTTTGATGGTTTGCATTGTTTTTATATTTTAAGAACCACAGATTATAATATTTTATGTGGATGAGACATGTTGTAATTGTAATATGTGGATGAGGCATGCAGTGATTGTGATATTCTAAAGTTTCAAACTTTCTTTCTTTGGATGAAACATGCAGTAATTGTAATACTTTTTTAAGTCATTAACTGTAATACTTTCTTCTTCTTTTTTTTTTTTGAGGAAGTGCGGAAGTTGAATTATGTTAAAAATTTATAAAATTTCAAACCGCCAAACCGATTCGCATCCATCCGCCAAACCGCCAATCCGCTCAATTCACATCCGCCAGATTGGCGGACGGGCGCGGATTAATTGTCTTCAATCCGCCAATCTGGCAGGCGGATGGCGAATTGAAGGTTTCGTGACCGCAACCGACCCGCGCCCACCCTTATATTGGAGTGTTTGGCAAGTTGAATTTTAGCCTTTTTTGGCTAAATTTTACAGAAGAATAAAATAGGCTAAGAAAGTTACTCTTTTGAATTTTAGCCTATTTTATATAAAAGTAGGGCCCTGAATAATTTTATTCATTGACATAAAATTGCTCTTTTGATTTTGTTTTCCTCCTTTTCATTATTGTGTTTTTTAGTTTTCATTTTTACAAACTTTTAAAGATTGAAAATGATGAAAGATTTGAGTAGTTTTCAAATTGTTTTCGTTTTTCACAAAATTCAACTCTTAAAGAAAAAAACACTAAGAATGCAAAAATAATCACCCACACATCTTTGTGTAATCTGAATTATATATGTATTTCTAGTACTACCGAATTTTAAATGACTAGCAATACCTTTAAATTGAATTGAAACATTGATATTTTGTTATTGGTTTGGGCATACAAAGCTATTGTTCAAGACCATAGGATAATTTTTGCTTCCCTTGACCTAGGAGTGGTCTTTGATGGTCTTGAACAATCTTAGCTCACGTTTGTTTGGGTCTTTGATGGTCCGGAACAATCTTAGCCTATGTTTATTTAGCAATTAAATTAGATGGGATTATAAGTACAGTAGAATTGAATAAAGAGAGTAGTAATGCGATAGTATTAAGTTAAAAATCTAAGATAAAATGTGTTTGTTTATATAGTAATGTGATAATATTAATTGATTGGGATTAAATATACGAACTTCGATAATTACTTTTCTTCCATTATTGTAGTCATATAAGCTAAGGGTTAAAATAATCTTTTACCCATTAATCCCATAGGAGTATCTCAATTCTATGTATTTTTAAGATTTGTTAGTCCTCTCATTGCGTAGGATTACTTCTCCAAGATGAATAGTAATACCCCCCCCCCGGGCATTTCTTAAACATGGCATGAGTGGGGCCATCCTCATATTCTAATCCCCTTTTCTAAACCTCCAATCAAACATGATCTTAGAATAATTCTTTGTATTTTATTTTTTTAAGAATTACATAAAATTCATGAGTTTTATTGCTGTAGGATTATTTTGAGAAGTGCTAAAAAAAAAAACTAATTTTTTTTTACTTACTACAAAAAAATATATAAAAAGTAAATAAGTGATATGGTTTAAATAATTTAATAAATTAATAAGCCAACTTCTTGTGCACTTTCCAAAACAGGGCTAACACCGCTCATTTGGCAAGTGGATTTGCAGGTTTTTTTAGCTATTTTAGCAACAAAAAACAAAATAGGCTATTTTAGTCATAACAAACAAAAATCACATCTAACCCATAATCATTACATTATTCTCTCACAAAAAAACTCAAAAAAGCCAAAAAGTCAAAAAGTCCTTTCCAAACTAAGCTTTTAAGCCCAGGCTAAAATAGTCAAAAAAAACTAAAAAGCCAAAAAGTCAACACACTTCTCAAACGGAGGTTGAGACATTTGTCTTATTCTTTCCTAAAAAGCCAACCTAAATTCTAAACTATTTTAGCTAATACCATGGAAAATATTTGACTCCTTAAATTTTTTTTACAATTTTACCTACAAAAATATAAGAGAATAAATGTTAAATTTTAATTTGTTACATATTCAATTATTGATGGTCTAATACTCCTACCACATTATTATAAGTGAATTTATGAATTAAAAATGTGAGTCTCTATCCTTACTCTAATAGAACCCAAGTAAAGACATCACCTAAATTTGCCCTTGAACCGTCGTATAATTTTCCCTTGAATATTGACCAATTATAGTTTGACAAAGAGAGACTAGTATTTGGCCAGGAAATTTTAGTCCTGTTTTAGGTTAAAATTCAAAAATAAATAAATAAAATAAAATAGTTAGTAACATAAAATATCACATCAAATTCATAATCATTTCATTTTTTCTCTTATAAACATCACATTTAATTATAAAAAAATTTTAATCATCTTTTAAAATACAAAAATTTTGGGATACTTACATGTAAATCCTAATAAGCCTCCGTTTGGCAAGCAAAAAGCCAGGCTTTTTTGGCTAAAATAGCCACAAAAAACAAAATAGGCTATTTTAGCCACAAAAAACAAAACATCAAATCCAACCCATAATCATTACAATCCTCTCTCACAAAAAAAGCCAAAAAAGCCAAAAAGCCAAAAAGCCATTCCCAAACCAGGCTAAAATAGCCCAGGCTAAAATAGCCAAAAAGCCAAAAAGCCAAAAAGCCAACCCACTTCCCAAACGGAGGCTAAGTGGACTTACATAAAAAAATATAAGTCACTAATTATAAGTTTTAATAACAATTTATAAAAATATAACCCAAAAATATTACTAATTGTCAATTTTTAGAGACATATGTCAAAAATTATCACAAAAAAATTATTTTTAATAACAATTTTATTAAAATTTATTTTAATAGAATTTGATAAAAATTAAGGGTATGTTTGGTTTGTGTTTGAGAGATGTGTTTTAGAGATAAAAAGTACGAAAACATGTTTGGTTTGGTTTTTTTTAAAAGATGTTTTGGAAAATTATTTTGAGATAGAGTTTTGGAAAAAGTGATTGATTTGATGTGTGTGAGAGAGAGATTTGTTTGGAAAACTTGTTTGGTTTACAAGTTTTGGGAAATTTTTTTGGGAAAATTTGTTTGGTTTGGTTATTTTTGAAAACTTATTTGTAGAGAAAATTTCCCAAATTTTTTTCAGAAAATCAAACCAAACGAGCCCTTTGTTTGGTTTGATTACTTTTAAAAGCTTATTTGTAGAGAAAATTTTCCAAAAATTTTTCAAAAATACAAACCAAACGAACCCATAGCCTCCAAAGAAACACCAGATTTAGTAGAGCGTCCTACCCTTGTGGAACCCCATAAATGCAACATTTTTCCCCATGTATTTTTGTTTTGTTTTGTTTTGTTTTGTTTTTTTTTTTTTTGTGTGTATGAATAACATATTAAATTTTAAAATATTTTTATATTTTCTACTTTATGGGCAGTCTATAAACTTGTCATTAATATGAACCCTTAAATAATAAAACAAAAAAATAAAAATAAATAAAAAAATTAGAAAAGAGGCTATTAAACATTAAGAATTATATAATCTCAAGGAATTGGCCTCACGGTCAAAACCTGAGGTTTGAAGTGTGTTCCCTTCAATATCTTAGGTTGAAATCTCTGAGAGGCTAATCCATAAAGGATTTTGTCCTAATTTTAATAGAGCCCCTCTCTAGTAGAGGGTAAGATTGGTCACTCGAATTAGTCTCACCCAAATTAATTGGTTTAATGAGTCAGATACCGAGTTACAAAAAAAACAAAAAATAGCAATCATTGGTTATGCTTGTATGAGAAATGCGTGTTAGACAATATATCATCAAAATTATAATTATTGCTTGTTTTTTAAAACAACAAATATGATAAAATCTCATGAATATAATTATTAGGTCAATTTGATTTTTTATTTATAATTTTATGTACGGGTGAAAAATATTTGTTGTCTTTCGTACTCTTTGCTACCAAGCCTAACTTGCTCCGATTGAACTTCGTTTCACTACGAACAAACAAAGATGAGCTATCCGGCAGGTGGGCTGCCGAAAAATCCCTCCGACAACCAAGTTAGCTTTCCTGGGAGAGAAGAGAAAATGTAGAGCACTGTAGAGAGAGAGTGGCTAAAGGTTGCTTACCCTCTAAGTTTGCTCACACCTCCTTTTCTAGGCTGGCCATGTAGTCCCAAATTGTGTGCCTACTGCCTCTGCTGTCCTTTGCTAGTCGTGTGGCTGTACTGCCCTCTCTGTTCCTTACACGTGCATATTTAAATACAGCCAAATAATGTTGGCTAAACTACCAAACAGTATTGACGCACATCCAGAGCAGTTTCCTCTGCATTGGTCCACATGGAATACATTGCTATTACTTGGGTTGCACCAAAGATATTGCCTCTGAACACTCCAATGCTAAGCTAATCTAGGCCGGTCTTCGAGTCATAGTCGCGCTAGGTCAATACTTTGGCGGCCTTCCCTCAGGCCAGTCAACCATGGACGAGTAGTCAATCATTTCGACTACATAGCGCGGCACTACGCCACGCCTAGTCTGGCCGATCTTGTGACGTTGCCATGACCTCCACAACTGTGGTGCTAAAATATGGCCCAGTCCAAGATCGGGGCCCATGCTAAGGTAGCCTAGCCAAGATAGCGGATTCCTAATGTACAAAAATGTTGAAAGGTGTGACAGCATTTTGCTTTTATTTGGTTGTACTAGGGATGTGACAGTGGGTCTCACTCAATGTCACATGTGTTTTGTGCCTTAATTATTTATTTATTTATTTATTTTGGGCTTTTCTCCTTATTA